ATGAACTATGAATCATTGGTTTAACAAGGAGGATCCACTAAATGAACCAATTACAAATGAGGGGACGGTAGCAGGCAGGCAGAATTGCTATTATCAAGTTATTAAAACAACTACTCCAACAGTAACTTATCGGTAAAAGGGGAGATAAAGCAGTTCTGAGAGAATCTGGGCTTCTTCTAGGCAGAACAAACAACCTGTTCAATTCAGTTAACCTTTTTCTTCAATTAAATCCTCATAGGGCTATGGTAGCAACTAAACAAGAGAAATAATAAATGTGATAGTACCTATACAGTGTCTTGTACATATAGCAAGCAAACAATGTTACTTCTTTTCCTTTTGGACCATGTTACACATTATTTTTTAATATCACTGATCTCCAAATAAGGAGTTAATAAAAAAAACCTATTAAATACTCCAATGCATATGACAAAAATAGCTGTGTTTTTTTTACCTCTTCCCTCACAGCACCCTGATCTTTCCACCTAGGAAGAGAATGACTTCTCTTTTATGCTGTAGTAATTGCATACAATCAAAATCCATTCCATTTAGCTTAAACCAAAAACAGGCACTAGGAACACAAAAATGAAGCAAAACAAAACAACCAAACACTAACAACAAAACCGTCCTCAAGGAGTTCATAGATTCACTTTCTCAATCTGCCTTCAGTCCCATGACATCCATACCAAAGCTTCACTGCACCTCAGGTAAGGCTGCTACAAATACAAGGTGCCCCATACTTCATGGGGCAATAACCCATCTTTGTATCTTCATACTCCCACTTCATCACCTCATTCCATTTTTTCCTTTAAAAAATTCTATGGAGATTCACTGGATATGATCATTCTCCAAAGTATGAATAAAATCTACCCTGGCTTTACTAATAGCTCAAAATAAGGAAACAAAGGAAACAATCCAAAAGAAAAATCCTGTTTTTTGACAGTGCTGGGAGTTTATTTTAAAACTTAAAACAAATGTAAAACCCATCACAAAAATAACACCTTTAAGAGACTAAAAAATACTGCTTCTGAGAACAGGCATGTGAGAAAGGATTAAGGCTACTTTCTTTTTCAGAGGTAGGTCCAGAAAGAAATGTCCTCACAGAGATACGTAAGCTGTAATATTAGGGAAAATGAACTATCAGGAAAAAAGTGGGATTACATCAAGCTTCAAAGTTACATCAAGCCTTGGAATTTTATTTGTAGCTAAAACACACCTCAGAAGTCATCGACATCTACCTTTTCATTTTATAATCAAATATCTTGAGAAGTAAAGTCACACAGAAGACTGCATTTCCTTCTAATTTCTGTCATGCCCTAACTTCTCGTCCCAGATAATGTAAGGCTATGCCACTCACTGAACTGAGAAACAGCCTCCTCTTCAAGTCCACTGGGTGAAAGAGAACAAGTTCCTAATGTTGTCATGTCTAACATGAGAGTTACAGATCCTAGCATTTCAAGGTAGATCTGAAACTTATTTTTCCCATAGAAAGACTGTCATACAAATTATTATAGGTATTTGAATATACTTATGCTAATTATTAACATAATTTTATGATTTTTTTAGTATTAACATAATCTTGTAATTCAGGTATTTTATTATTTAAGTAGTGGGCTGTCTGTGACTCTAACCACTAAGCATACCGTTTCTGAGAAAATAAGACCCAAGTTCCAAACCATTTTACAAGTTGTAAAATATAATCAATCATGTAGTAAGTTAGAACTACCAATTCACAAAATTATAAGCTGAATGTGATAAACTAAAAACACAAGATTCTTAATTTTATAAAAAGTTCCACCTCAGGGGTCATTTATTTTTAACAACTAGGTACCCAGGCATTTAGCACAGGATTTAATTTACATATATCTTTGTATTACTATTTCACTAGAAAAGTTAAGTCACAAAGAATCAAACACACTTCTATCTAGTGTAGGGAAAACAAAAAATATGCTGACATACATCTTCATAAAGTGAGCTATAAGAAGAAAATTGTTAATATTTCATAAATCAAAGACTGCTAAGTATCTAGTGCCAATTCAAAAGTGTACAGGTAATGGAATTAGATCTGAACAGGTAAATGGAGTTCAAAGAACCTCCAAATTCATTTTTCTCTTTTCTCCTGAGATAAAGTTATACATTTCATTAATTAAAATGTTTGATAAATCTTTAAAAATGTTTCACTGAGTATATTAATTCAATGGATATTCTTTACACATTCATTTTATTTGTTCAAAAAAGAAAATTGAACCCCTACTATTTGTTAAACACTACACTGACAACTTTGGATTTATGACAATAAGCTGCAGGTCAGTTCCTCTCCTCAAATAACTAAAAAAACCATGACTTTACTGCATTTACCCAAGTGACAGTGACAGCTAAATTTTAATTCAAGAAAACATTATAAAACAATCACTCTCAAAAAAGAAACCATACAATAGTTAACTTTAAACACACTTTAATAGTCTTATCTATATGAAGTTTTCTCACAAAGTAACCAAAAGCACTGTTTTGGTAAAAGTGCTAATAATATAATCTTTTGATAGTAGTCCAATAAGGAAATCACAAGGTACTATGTACTATGATAATGAAAATCAAGTACTTGGAAAGATATTTTAAGTTATTCCTAAAATAAAGCAAAATGTATAATTATAGTCTTGTACAATATTAATACACTGTCTCTGAATATATGGATATTTACAAACATGAGTAATAAAGTAACTCTATAGCATACCTTATAAATGATCACGACTAAGCATTTTGGATTGTAACACCTGCAAATTTTTAACAAAAAAGGCCTTAATATTTTTTGACTATATTATTCTTCACTAACTTAATTCAATATTCTTATTATCAAGTCATAATTTTTATTTACTATTAACTATTTTATCTATATGTTTAACTACATGTAGGTATTAACTGTAATAACCTTTATGTCTGCAATTATTTAAAACCACTGATAGATGAGAAACATTTTTCAATTCAGAGGCGTCTCTCTCCAAAGCAAGAATCAATGTTAATCAGCCATTCTAACATGACAAGGAAAATTCTGACATTTTTTCATTGTATTTTTCACAGAAATTTTTTTATCATTCATCAGCTATTTAAATTTTCTTTAAAAGGACTACAAAAACACACCTTTCCTGAATTTATGCACACTATCTACTAAATATTATCTCCATTTACATATAAGGAAATCAAGGCACAAAGGTGTCCATTTTGTAAATTGCAAGGTCATTTCCTAACCAAGCAACTAATCCTACACCATCAACTTATATTATATGTGCGCCACTTCCAAGTGCCATAAAACAATTACCGTACCTTAAAACTGCCTCTGCAATGCTTATATGTGATTCTCTTTTATCAGACGGGTTAATGCAACAAGCGTAAACAAGATGGAAAAGGAAAACTATAAAAATACAACACTTATTTTTGATAGTGAATCATTTATTTTTAAATAATGAGATGTAAACAGTTTTTAACATAAAAATCAAGTAACCAACAGCTGTTTCTTGTATTTTCAAATAAAAATTCATCCTTCAGGTAGATCATGCAAAACTGAAGCCTACTCATACTTGTAGATCAAAGTTAGAAAAAAAAATTGGATTCTAAAACAAATAATTAAATACAAGATATTGCAAAGACAAAAGTGAATAAAAAATAAAATCAGATAAATTAGGGAATGACTGATACGGTGGTTAAAATCCTCACCTTAAATATTAAATTCTTCCATTCAATGGAAGGCAACGATTAGTAATGACATATTCTGTTACTGAAAAACAAATACAAAACTTTTCTTATTCAAAACTTCCGAAATTTTACATCAAATACTTCATTCGAATATTCAATATAAACAAAAATATGTTTCCTAACAGAAACTTAGAGCATAAAGGATAAACTGTTTCAGAGAGTTCAAATTTAGACTGCATTTTTAATCATGATATAGTGCTATGATCAGAAAAATGAATGTTACCTACCACGCAAGTTTAAATTTAAGAACATTAGACGGATTGAATAACCCATAAGTCAATTACATCAATTAGTGAAAAGAAAAAAGACCTTAGCTAACCGTGAATCTAACACCAAAGAAAAAATTTAGGTCGAATCCACCGCACACATTATACAGAAAAGGAAATGATTAGAGTAAGTCATATTTAAGCACCTAGTCTAGCTGGGGATCAATTAATTAATCGGTTATAGGGCAGGTCGTGTATGTTGAGATAGGATGTGCTTTCTTTCATCGTTATTCCAGTTCATCATCCGCAAGTGCAAGAGAAGGTGTCAGAGTACCGAAGCTAGGGGGCATGCTGTAGCAAGGGGAAAAGAAAAATGGGAAAGGTGCAATGGATGCTGCATAGTTGAATAATTATCTGGGTGGCACAATGGGCGAGTCCTGCCGACATGAGCGCTGAGTGAGCGGCTCCCTAACTCTGCCCGAGGCAGCCCCCACGAACGGGCACCAGAAGCGACGGCACTGCTTCGCCTACCCTTCCAACCAAGAAAAGGATGCCTGCACTCGCTTTTTTACCGTTATGTCTTTAGACACCGACTCGCGGAGCAAACACGCAAACGCACGAGCCGGCTTTACTAAGCTCCAGGCACGTAGAGCGAGCAGAGGTTTCTCTGTCGCCCGGGGCTACCGCCTCCCCCGGAAAGAGGCACGGGGCGGACCGTGGGCGCGGGTGGGCAGGGAAGCCCGGGCGGTGGCACCTCAGGTGAGACCCGCAGTCTCTCCGGCGAAAGCAGCCCCCGGGCGGTCCCTGCAGCCGAACCCCGGGCGCGCCCGCCGCCGTCTCCCTCGGCACCCAGCCCGGCTGGCGGGTGGGCGGTGGGCGCTCGGGAAACCCGCGGATGGGGGTGGGGGCCGGGGCGGGGGAGGCGCGCCCATCCATCCCCGTCACCTATGCGGGCCACACACCCCTCGGTCTGCTCCGGCCGGTGAGGAAGAGTTCCTCTCCCAGCACCCCCTCCCCGAAAAAAGCAATTCCTCAGGGACTCGCGCTCACCGTGAAATCTTGGGGGCTCTCGCTTACCCCTTCTTCATGCTTCGGCAGCGGTCGCCGGTCCCCCTCGGCTCGCGGGACTCCACCTAGGGCTCCCAGGAGGGTCGGGCTCTGGGGCGGAACCCGCTCAGGACAGCGGCCGAGGCGCCAGGCCACTGGGAACGCCGCCTGGGGCGCCCACCGGCCGCCGGACCCACCGTGTGCTCGACGCGCGAGTGAACAACACCGCGAGCTGCCGCTCCCCCCGCCCCCTCCCCGCGCGAGACGCTCCACAACCGGACGCAGGGACCCGCGCCAGAAGCAGGGGGGACCGCGGGACTCTCTCCGGCTATGGTCCCATCCTTGCCCCCTGCCCCAGGAGCTATTCCCGGCCAGTCAGAGGTCTCAAAACTTCAGATTCTCACTTTCCTCTTCACCATCGAGTGCCCAGGTGCAGTCGAGGTGGGAAACCCAGCCTCCGCCCACTCCTCCATCGGTGGGGCCGAAGCTCGCTCTTCCCCCCTTTCCTGAGGTTCTGTGGTATTGCCCAATCCTCAGTTTGGGGGAGGGGGACGGAGAGAACAGTGCTTGGCTAGGGAATGAGGGAAGATGACAGCCAATTGAATGGAACATCCATTCGGGGGCGGGGTCAAGGAGGGACCCGCCCCCGTCCCGCCCCCTCGTTCCAAACTACACTTCCCATTGTGCCCTCTGGTGCTTCCTGCCGCGCTGCACGCTGGGAGTGCAGGACCGCGAGGCCTCAAGGTATTTTGGAACTCGTATTCTTTAGTCAACTAGGTCCTGAAAGTTATAAGCCATTATAATTCTCTCTTTTTCCCTAGATAAACTTTTTTAAGCTCTCATTTCTACAGTAGTTATTCTAATAATAATTAGCTTGTTGTTTTAAAATGTAAGAAATTATTTCTTAGCAAAGAAAGTTAATGATGTGTTCCATGGCAATCTGTCAGGACCTGGGAGCCTCCTCTTCTTCCGCCCTGACAGGGTCCCCGCAGAAGATTTGTTGCCGTCATGTCGGCTGCGATTGCAGCTCTGGCCGCTTCCTACGGTTCGGGTTCAGGGTCCGAATCGGACTCGGACAGTGAGAGCAGTCGATGTCCGCTGCCAGCCGCCGACTCCCTCATGCACTTGACTAAATCGCCTTCAGCCAAGCCGTCTCTAGCAGTGGCAGTGGACTCGGCTCCGGAGGTGGCAGTTAAGGTAAGCACCTTTGCTACTGATGCGGTGTGGGAATTGTTGGCTTCAGCTCCAAAACTGCCAGCCGCTTGTTAGGTCCCGGCTTACCTCATTGCTCAGAGATAAGTTGCTAACGTTTGAATTTCTTCTCCTTCCCACATGCATCCTCGGGAGAAGCAGAATTGGAAGTTCGGAATAGCCCTCCGATGCTCTCTGCCCTTACCTCCCGCCATCAGAAAGCAAGTGGAAAGAGGGGGTGAAATTTGAATTTGTGAATTAGGGACATAGCCTGTAAAGTGCAGATGTAATCTCGGAACATAAATAAAATTAGATCAGGACTTCCCAAACTAGAGTATTGTACCTTCACTTGAAGTGAGCAGTGGCCTCGATTTGTTTTATTTTTGAAAAACTAGGTTCTAATCCTGGCACCACCACTTATGTGAACTTGGGCAAGTTATGCAGCCTCCTCTCTTTCCTCACCTGTACAAGCGGAGATCATTTTCAAAACACCTGTCTACATGAGAAGATGAGTGTGAAAATTGAGTGAAATTACACAAATAAAGCATATAGCACAGAGCCTGGTAACTAGTGAGAGTGCAGTAAATGTTTTATGATTATGTATGTTAATACAGTGAGAAAAAGGCCTTGGATTTGAGAAACAGCTGCATGATCTCAGTGGAGGAAGCTGATTCAGGCAAGAGTTTCCAGGCAAAGGTGACAGGCAAGCCTGAGAAGGCAAAGAGCTTAGTGTGTTTGAAGAACTGAGGAAAAGCTGATATGTCTAGAGCCTGATGAGAGCATCTACCAATTGATAGTGTAGGCCCAGTAGAGCCCGAGGTAGGTGATCAGCTCAAGATGTGAAGATGGGAGGCGGTGTCCAAAAATTCCTTTGTATCATGTCCCCAAGTCTAGTTTAATGACTTAAGAAGTGTTTTACAGATTTTTAACAAGCTGTCTGTGAATTTTACTTTTTAAAAATGGGCATCTGGCATGAAAGAATGCTTAGAATCCTAACTTCCTATCAAAACAAAACTTTCCAAACTTACGCCCCTCCAGTAACCTCCTGAGTCTTCTCCTTTCACAGCTCAGCTTTTTGGAGCTCTCTTTTTGTCTTCATCTCATTTTCTCCTCAACCCGATGCAGTCTGGCCCTACCCTCTTGGGAAACTGTCTGTGAGTGATGTCCCAGGCCTTGCAGTTGTCAAGTTCAGCCATCTGACTTAAATGTCTGCATCAAATGACACTGTTCATTAGTTCCTCTTTCTTGAAACTTTCTCTCCGTTTCGCTTCCATGGGGCTCTACTCAGCATTCTGTTCCAATTATTTTACTCTTTTCAATACTGGTGTTTCCCAGGACTCTGCTCTTGGTCCTCTTTGCATTCCACATATTCTTCCATACCTTCAACCTCAGTCTGTGCTGCCCCTAGCTCAAGGTGAACACCGTGAAATGGTTAGCACAGGCTCTGGAATTAAGACTGTAATTCAAATCCTGCCTCCAGCACTTACCCACCTGGGGACCTTGGATAAGTTGCTTAAATGCTCAGCACCTAATTTTTACTGATCTGTAAAGTAGGAATAACAGTAGTACCGATCTAACAGAATTATAAGAATTGCCATAAAAGATGTAAAGCCCTTTTAACAGTGCCACATGCTTGCTATCCTTTTATTTCCAGTTCTATCCTCCTTGCTAGCTTACAACCTTGAGAGGTATATAAAAATCTCCCACTGTAATTGTACATTTGTTTCTTGCAGGTTGGCACTCAGCCACCTCCAGTTCAGTGTGTTGAAAAATTATTTTCTTTCCCTCAAAATCCATTTCTGTTTTCCCCATTTTGATCTATGATCCCACGATCCACCCACTAGTTCAAGCCAAGAACAAAGGAGGTATCCTTTTCTCTTCCTTCTGCCTCAGCCCCTGAAGCTAGTCATTCAATTGATTCTAACATTTCTGTTTCATTAATTTATCTCATATCAACTCCTTCCTCACTATTTTCACTGGTGCAGGCTTCATATCTTCCTTATTTCTCCCAGGAGTTATTCTTTTCTTTCTCTTTCAGCCTCTTCTTTTGGATAGTGGGTCCTGTCCACTTTAACTCAATGATATTCATCAAATCTCTCTCTTCTGCTGCCACTGCTTAGTTCAGATTCTCATCATTTCTCTTCAGACAGTTGTAGCTTTCTAACTGATATTTCTACTTCTTCCTTTCTTGTCTCCCAGTGTTATACCCCATTCTTTTCTCCACAGGGCACCTAGAATGATCTTTGTAAATTCCACTTGCGTCCTATCACTTCCCTGCCCAAAGACACCATATTGTCCAGTGGGTAATTTCTAAGTTTTTTTGGTAGCATGTGAGGGCTGCTATTCTCCCATGCTGAACTCTTTACAAAGCCCTGAAAGCCAAATTTTCTTTCTTCCTCTGAAGATTTTGCCCACGCTAGTCTTTCTGCCTGGAAATCCCTTGCCTAGTGCCTCCTTCCCCCATTCCAAACACTATGGTCCTTCAGTCTCACTGCGCGTTTCCTCCTATTCTACCTTAGCCCCTTTATCATATCTTAACTATAGCACTTAGCACATTGCCGTGACTTGTTCATCTTTTTCTTTGCCCTGGACTGTGAGACCCTGGGGTCCAGAGACGTATCCGTTCGTTTGTGTCTCCGGTGCCTAGTACACAAGATTACGGAAGTATATTTGGTAAGAGAATAGAATGAAAAAGAAAGTCTTGTAAAAGTATGCACATTAAGAATCAGAAATGTAGAGCTGGACAGGCAGTGGCAGGGTTGGAGGTGTTTGTGTAGAACTCACTTAGTTCAAGCACAAATAAATAAGGAAACCCCGGAGGAAAGGTTGCATAAGGTACCAGAGGTCCATTAGAAGTAGAGCTGGGGCTAGTCCACCCAGTGGTCTGGGTTCTATGAGAGAGTACAGGGCATTGCTCATTGTTAGTTTATGAACCAACACTTGTTTATATGAAGGGAAAACAAATTTATGCATAGTAAATACAATGACTGCAAATGATTGGAAAATTGGAAAATGACCAAGGGAGAGGTGAAGCATGCAAATATATTCATCTGTAGTTGACTAATTATATTATGATTAATAGCAAGCATTTTGGCAGAGAATACATTTATGCAGCATTTTTAATCCATGTTTTTTCTGAGCTCTTTCCTGCAGTTGAGTATCTTTTCATATATGTTATTGGTGGTTTAATTTTTTTTTCTTTTGAAAGCAACTATTGGGTTGTCATTTCCTTTTGATTTTTAGGAGATCTTTACATCTTCTGGATACTATCCTTTGTCAATTGTGTGTGTTGCAAAATTTTTTTCTTTTTGTGACTTGTCTCTCACTTTTCCCTGTTGTTTACAAACAATTATTTATATAGTCTGCGCTTATCAAATTATTCCTTTATGTATTGTGGTTCCTGTTGCTTGTTTGAGAAATCCTTAACTCATAGTCATGAAAATATTCTCTTGTATTATCTCTGGAAAACTATTCACATTTAAGTCATTAATCCGTATGAAATTAATTTTTGTCTGTAGTGTGAACATTCTTAATAATATGGCTTGACAGGTGATAGGGCAGTTCCCTTGCCCTTTTTTGTTGTTCAAGAATGTTTTGGCTGGCTCTTCTGGGCCCTGTAATTCTATATACAGTTTAGAATTAACTTGGAAAGTTCTGCTAATACCCAGTTGGGATTTTGTTTGGGAGTACATTGAGTCATAGGTCAACTTAGAGATAATGTTATATCCGTTCATTTGTTTAGGCCTTTTTTTAGTTTTTTTTTTCTTCCGAAGTTTGTAATTGTCTCCATATCAAAATCTTGTACAGTTTTATTAGAGGTATTTCTAGGTGTATCTTATTTTTATGCTATTGTATTTTTCATTTATTTAACTTTCTAACTGATCTTACTACTTACAACTGATCTTACTACTTACATAGCCATATCTGCTGCAAATATGACAGTATTTTTTTCTTTCTTTTAATCATTATTTCTTTTATTTATCTTTCTTGCCTTGCCATGCTGACTACCACCTCCAGGAAGATTTAAAATAAAAATAAAAAGGATGTACCAGGCAAATTTTAACCAAGAGAAAGCTAGCAGTGTTTGTGTTAACATCAATAAAAATAGACTTTAAAGCAGAAAGCATTACGGGAGACAAAAGAGTCACTTCATCACGATGGAAGGTTCAGTTCACAGAGAGATATAAAACAATGTAAGCTCAAAATATTTAAGCAAAAATTGACAGAACTACAAAGAGAAATGGACAAATATACAATTACAGTGGGAGATTTTTATATACCTCTCAATAATTGATAGAACAAGCAAAAAATATCAATAATGATACAGAATATGTGAAAAAAATTAGTAAACTACATCTAAAGGTCTTAGGGAACATGGCACTCAGCAACACAGAATGTTGTTTTCAGGCACTGAAAACATTTTGAAACGTTGAAACAGAATGAAACATTTTTTAAATGACCGTGGGCTAGACCAGGGATTGGCAAACTTCAGTAAAGGGCCAGACAGTAAATATTTCAGGCTGTGCTGGCACCGTGTAGTTTCTGTCACTTCTTTCTTTCTCTCTTTCGCCCTTTCTTTTTCTTCATCTTTTTTTCTTAAGCCTTTAAAAATGCAAATACCATCCTTAGCTTGTTGATACAAAAAAACAGACTGTGGACTGGATTTGGCCCACAGACTGTAGTTAGCCACCCCTGAACTGGAGCATAAAATAAGTCTCAACAGATTTAAAATCTTATTACCGCATTCTCTGACCACAGCGCATCTAAGCTAGAAACTAACCACAAAAAGATAGGTATAAAATTTCCATATTTGAAAATTGTGACATTGCACTTCCAAGCAACTATGCAACGGAACATGTGAGATGCAGCCATGGCAATTTTTTTAAAAGTATAGTCATAAACACATAGCACAGAAAAAAGGAAAGGCAGAAAGTTAGTATGCTAGGCATCCTTTCTTTTGGATTTTTTAAATCATTACATTCTGTCCCTGTACTTGTTTTAAGTCA